TTTGCTCATTCAGCATGCTACAGTGTTACGGTCAGGTAGATTTACAACTTGAGCTTTAGCAGCCTTGGGGCGGGACTCGAAGCCATCCTTCACTCCGGTACGACCTAAGGGGATACAACGGTTTAGGGCTTAGGGTTTAGGGGTTTGGGGTTTTGGGTTCAGGATCTTGCTTGAAGCCGCGTCTTGGGTTGAGGGCCAGGGGGAGGGGGTTTGCACTTCCGCGCTTCAGCTCGTGTTGTTTGGATGTCATGGCCCTTGCCACAACAGGGGGGAGCAGTAGACGCAATAGATGCTCGTGCCCACATGAAAGACGAAGACAGGCACCCGCAATAAACCCCTAACCCCTCAACCCTAAACCCTTAAACCCCTTAACCCCTAAACCCTTAAACCCCTCAACCCCTAAACCCTTAAACCCTTCAACCCCTAAACGCTAGAACCCTAAACTCCAAAACGTGGTCACCGCGTGCAGCCGCTTTGCTCGGCTACCTGTTAGCGCAGCCCTCGACCTCCTTTGCAAGGCATCGGCCTGTGATGCGATGATGCTTCAAAGGCATTGAAACTAAGATTATATATATATATATATATCATGCTATGGTACAACTTTTTAATGTGTTGTAAGATATGATATATTATGTACTACTACCAAGAGCACTGCGCTAGCCTGAAGCTGCCGCAGGTGGAAACATGGCGGCGGCCGATCTAGAGCCTCGTCATGCGCACCTCTGCAATGAGCTCGACCTGCAGAGCTTTGAGGCCTTCTTCAAGCCTCCGTCTTTCGCTACTCTGCTGCAGAAGGGCTTCGGCTGAGGTGTAGGGTTCAGGGATTAGGGTTTAGGGTTTAGGGATTAGGGTTTAGGGTTTAGGGATTAGGGTTTAGGGTTTAGGGTTTAGGGTTGTAGGGTCGTGGGCGGGGTGGCAAGACTGGCAGTGGTGCTTTAAAGCGGCTTTCAACACGAGGACTTCACCTGGTGGCCGGCCAAGAACGAGTCCTCGCAGCTTCAAGCGGTCTTAGAGCAACTCATACATCTCGCCGAGGCTGCTTGTCTGCAAAGCTGCCGCAGGGGCTTGCATCATGCCATCTGCCGACCCATCTTCACCTGCAATGCTGTGTGCCTGCCAAGCCCACCCAAAACCCAAAACCGAACCGCAGGTCAAACAGAGAGACCGTGGTGGCGAAGCTGATTTGCGGCAGAAGCTGCGGGTAATCGACGACGAGCTGCATGCGCTCTACAGTATTCCACGGGGTAGGTGTCTCGGCAACAATGGCGCGCGGTACTGTACCGAGATCCCGATCCGATGTAAGAAGTGCCTATTGCACTAGCACCGTGCAAGCGCCACGACAGAGGGATTCGGTTGCACTTCCGCCAAGGAACGCGCAGCAGATTTTCACCGAAGCTTCGGCTTTGCTCCAGCGGCTGGGGCGCTCCGTGCAGATGCAGTGCAAGACTGGGAGCTCTTGCGAAGAGACCACGAAGGCCTCGAGCCACAAGCTGATCCAACTGCTCCCCGGCCAGGAAGATTCCTCACCTCTCCCTCTTCTCCTAAGACCTCTACTTAAAGGGCCTTTCCCTCTTCTCCTAAGACCTCTACTTTAAGGATCATGGGACTTGGTGTAGCTGGGGTTATAAACAAGTCCATCGTAGCTCCCTGAGCCCGGGGCTTCCGAGACCCTGGCCCTGAAACTCAAAACCCTGGGGTACCTAAGTTTAGGGTTTAGGGTTCAGGGGTTTGGGGGTTTGGGGGTTCAGGGTTCGGTATCCTTGATGCTAGAGTTTCAAGCCCCTAAACTTCAGCCAAACAGCCCGAACTAGGCGAGGAGAGGCCCCCCTAGGCTTCGCCCGTCGCTTGCTGAGGTCGCAGGAGCAAGCGCTCGTGGCGCAGGGCTCAGTTGTGCAGGTTTCATGTTGGAGATTTGGAGGACCCAGAGACTCCAATACCCCTTAATTAAGGAATATTCCATAAATTATGGTAGGATCCCTTGGATGATTTAAGGCATATTCTTTAATTAAGGGATTTTGGAGTCTCCGGGGAGAAGACTGGAACAGAGCTGGTTGAGACTTTCTGTTGTGCTGAGGCTGGCTGTCCACACAGCGTCTTGGTTCAAGGCAGATCTGGAACGGGGAAGACCCTGGTTTTGGTGAACAGGTTGCATCAGTCCTTTGTGGACCAGCGCGATGCCGGAAGCTTTCCGGCAAGTATCTTTGTCACGAAGTCCACGCTGCTGGTGGAAGAGGTGTCACGCCAGCTGCGCGAAAAAGGATGTGATCTTGCCGAGCCGACATGGCCGCCTACCTCGGGGATTTATTGCTGGACCTGGAAGCAGCTGGTGCAGCTGGCTGTCCCCCATGTTCAGGAAGCAGATGTCTCATACGAGGTCTTCCATGACGAGTATGTCCCCGTCATCAAAGGCGAATGTGAAGTACCAGCCCAGATCCTGTGGGCCGAATTCAACACCACGCTGCGACCGTTCGGGCCGGGCATGGCCCTTGGCCTGGGCGACGTCGGAGTCTGGTGCCTGCAGAGGGACGAGTTCCTACAGGACACTGCTGCGACGAATATGGGGTGTTGCGGCGAGTTAGGCTCAGCAGTGTAAGTTGCAGGAAGAGTCCAGCGCGATGGGAGTTTACTTGGATCGATCGGATCGGATGCAGATATATCGATGCTTCAAGCAGTATCCCAGCTGCTCCGAGCTTGTCAATAGCAAGTCTACCCTGCGACACGCATGAGGCCGTCACTCTATGCTGTCGAGCTAACCTAGATTTTATCGGACTTCTCTCTCAGGTATTGCAAGCTGAAGGAGCACCGGCAGCAACTGGATGACACTGACGTGGCTGCGCTGATCGCCAGCTGTCAAGAGCTGCAGGAGGTGTCTTTCGATGCACTCTTCGTGGACGAGGCAGGTCCATGGAGGTGTGTGTACGGTTTCTTCTTGTGGATTGTGATGGTTTGTGCTGGTAGAACGCGATGTCGATCATCATGATAGCGGTAGCGGCTGCTGCTGCAGCAGCACAGCTGCAGCTGATGCTCCTGCTTCTGCCACTGCTACTCTGCTACTCTGTTCAGTGTCACGATGTTCATATGTATACTTGCACTGGTCATGATGACGACGATTGTCGCAGTTGACGACGATGATGGTGCTGCGGTTGGGGATAGTAGTATTGATGATGATGGTGATCATGATGATGTCTGCGGCCTACATTCAATGTTCTGCTTGCTGTGTCCCTGCGATTCCTCTCTAACTGTTGTCTGACTCGAAGTTGTTACCAACCCTATCGTTACTACATAGATTTCATCTATATTGTTAGTACTGTAATTGTTCTATGGGTATCCAGTCGATTACAATGGAGGGGGTGATGATGCGTCGCTTGGGCTGATGCTCGTTGTGCGGCCTGTGAGGGCCATGCTGATGTTGTCGTCAATGCAGATGCCGGCGTTGACAGGCATGGTGCACAAGATTGACAAGAGGAAGACCACATTAGTGTTGTCGTGGTTATCACCATCATCATCATCATCATCACCATGATGATGCCATTGATGACGGTGACGGCGATAGTCGTTCTGATGCTGATTGTGCTAGTAGTGTGTTCATGAGCGTGAAGGAGGTTGTGCTTATGGTTGTAGTCTTAACAGTGTTAGTGGTGATGATGATGCGGATGATGGTGTTGTTGTTTTTGATGATGCTGGTTGCTGTTGTGATGGTGTTGTTGGTGGTGATTTTGATGACGATAGGCTTGGCTACCAGAATTAAAACCATGATGCAGACCACGATGACATGCAGTGACGGTGGTCGTGTAGGTGATCACAAGTACGGGTTGTGCTTACAAAGATGATGCTGGTGACTGGGTCCACGATCAGCGCGATAGCAATGGGTGTCACGCTTCCTGACTCCTTTGCAATGCATATAGTCTTTGCTAGTGACGAAACCTTGTGAGAAGTCAATTTGCGCAAGCTGGCAGGTGCAAGATTTCTCGCCTGCTGAGATTTCCTCTTTGCTGCTCCTCTGCAAGAATCCCAATGCTGTCACGATTACGGGCGATACTTGCCAGACCATCAATGCTGGAAGCGCTTTCAACTTCCAGCAGTTGGTCAAGGCTTTCCAGGAGCATCGACTGGGGGCATTGCATCACACGCCCGAAGGTGCACGAGCATACAGCTGGCTGAGCTGCTGCGACTCCTGGCACAACTGAGAAACAGTTTCCTGTTTCCTACCCCCTGAACTATCTCGAAACCTCAAGCTGCGAGATTGGGTTTTGCATGGCCATGCCTAAAACAAAAACCCTTGTGACGCAGTTGAGGAGAAAGACCTGCAGCGAGCTACCGCGCAAGCAGGGATGCAGAAAGAGGTGGATCGCAAGCGACGCGCCAGGAAGCTGATTGGAAATGCCTTGATGGAACGAGGTGTCCCGTCGCGGGGCGGCCCCTTTAGGCCCAGCATGCGGGACGACTTGGGTGATGCATCTCGGCATTTGGCGGAAGCCACACAGAAGATGAAGGAGGCCGAAGAAGGTCTCCAGAAGCTGCAAACTCGATTTCTGGTGATGAGCCTGCGCTTCAACTACCGCTGCAAAGCGGGCATCGCAGCAGCGGCCAGCTCCATCAGCCAGCTTCTCCTCGAGAGGTTCCCACGAGCTGCGGACCGCATACAAGAAGAGACCACCACACCGGGGGCGAAGCCCATGTTCGTTCGAGTGGCCGGCAGGGGCTGCCTCTCCCAGTACTTGCTCGGTAGCTAAGCCTGCATCTTAGCCGTGGCCTCTTCGTTACAATTTCTTTCTTTCTGAAGTGGGTTTTGATGGCTTTCGCTGCCGTGCAGTGGGCGACATATTTGATCCTGAGTTTCCAACATCCGAGCTGGGGTTTGGGAAGTTTAGTCCCAAGCCTAAGGCAGCGGAGCTTCGCAGCTGCCTGTGGTGGATCCCACGTGCATTGCCATGATCGTGCGAAGCGATCGGGTGCGGATGGAGCTGCGGAGGCGGAAGATCCAGGGCCTCTTCTTGACACCTGCCGAGGCCAAGGGCCTGGAGTTTGACATGGTGTTCCTGGGCTTCCTGTGGGAGTTTCCGAAAATAATAGGGAACCCTAATATAGTACCCGAAATAGTACTTGGCGGCCCGCTGGGGTTATTATGTAGGTATGGTGGTTATTAAGTACATAGACATGTTTTTCTGAAATAGACAAGTGCAAATAAGCAAGATATATAAACGTGATAAGTGTACTTATGTATCTAAGTTAGCATAAATAGCTAAGTGTACTTAGCTCACTTATAAGTGTATCATAACTGCAAAATGTAAGCACTTGCACAAGGCAGGGCCACGGGCTCGCCGTGCAGTGCATGCAGCAAACTCACACGAAAGTTCATGCATGCAGGCGAAGCTGCAATCTTTTTTAGCAGCTCCATGGCCATTCACGGCACGATCCTGACCTTGTCATGCCCCTCCCTGCGGAAGATGCATGCCGAGCGAACACTGGAAACCTTCACAAAAAGCGGGTTTTCCGCGACAGCAAAGACATTGCGGCCCATCGCTTCGTAGATACTGACTATGCGCCAGTGCTCGCCATGCAGTCGGAAGTTGAGCCACAGCTCCCCCACGACATCACCATGCATCACCACCACATCTCCTCGTGCAATGGTTGTGCCAGGCTTGATGCAGCACTTTTGGCTCGGGTGCACATCTGCATCGGCGATGCCGAATACCTTGAGCAGCTCATGCTTTAGGATTGGCTCTGCAGCTTTGTCCCTGCCAACCAGTGCAGGGCCATTGTCCAAGCTCAAGTCGGCATAGTCCTGGAAATGGTCGAACCAGATGTCGTGAGCCACACTGGCCTCGAAGGCCAGCTGGGAGGAATGCAGCTGGTCGCCGATTCTTTTGATATGTTTATGCTTCCGCTCGTGAGTGAAGCATGCCACCAACTGGTCGAATTTCTTCAGCATGAAGGGTAAATGCATCGTCATGTGAAACTTGGGGGTGATCGGCCCTTCCCCGTATGTTCTGACGAAGTGCTCGCAATGCGTTTGGATCAAGGTTTGCAGCTTCCCTGCCTGCAACCGTGTCTCGCCCCTGTTTGCTTGGGCGAGATAGTCCAGCACAGCACACAGATGCGAGTAACTTCTGGCCTCCTCCTCTGTCATCCTTGCCACGATTTCTGGTGTGGACATGAAGAACAATCGCAGCAAGGGATAGAAACACAAGCACGTGCTGGCTGCAGCCTTGAAGTCGCCTGGACTGATCTTCTTGGAAGTGAACATGCTCATGACCTCCTTTTTCTTCCAGGCATCAGCTTTGGGAAATTGCAGGCCATCACAGAAGTCGTGCAGCTGTGTGCTCGGAATCTTAACAGCCACCATTCGCTCCAGGATGCAATTTACTTCTGCATGAGCTACTCCATGCACTAAATAGATGTGCATCCAGTCGAACATGCAACTGGATGCTCCCAGGGATCGGGTTGCGAGAAGGCCAAACTGATTGGTGTTCAAGCCCATGGCTTGTTCAAGTTCGGCCAGCTTCGCATTCGATAGCTTCGTGCTTTGGTCCACGAGGTGTTCTGCAGCCTTGAACAAAGCCTCGTCACTCCGCATTCTGAAGCGGGCCACGTCTGTGCTGCAGATCGTCAGCAAATCGTCGGAGTCCCCTTCTGTCCGCTTGCTGACAACATTGGCACAAAAAGTGCATGGGACTGTGCCCGATGCACCTTTCGTGTCTAGCATGTGCTTGAGGGCGCTTTCGTCTGCTAGCAGAACAGTTGGCTTGCCGAAGAACATTCGGCTGTCCTCGGCTATATATAGGAACCATTGAATATCGAAACTCTTGCAAAGCAAAATACAATATCACAGTATCGAATAGATATAATGAAATGCACTCCAAGCCTCGTGTCCGGGAAAAGAAAGAAGGATGCCGCTCTCCAAATTGTGCACACCACGAAATGAATGTTGCACAAGCCTGGCTGTCACTGCTGACAGCCCTCCTTCTACAAGTTTCACCAGATTGCTCCGGATCATGAGCAAAGGCATCCAAAGCTCTTCGTAGAAAAGATGGTCTTGGCCGTATTCAAGCCATGCCATATACCAGACCTGAATTTTCCTGCTGTTGTTTCCCTTCAGCTGATTGCCGGGTGCAACTTCATCATTATAGATTGCGGCCCGCCAAGCTTCGTTGGGCGACCGGCACGGGCACTCTTGCAACCGTCGCAGAAAGAACTGGGAGAAGCCAGTGAGTTTTGCACATGCATGATGAAGGAATGCAGGCAAACAAAGCACCGGCACATCGATGCCATTGTTAGACTCTTTGCCATCAGGAACACGGGGCAAGCGCAAAGTCTCCCAGACGGGTCCATATGGAGTGGTCTGTGTGATCACCTTGTCTCGGGCTCGCTTGATGGACTGTCGCGAGGTGGCCGTCAAAGGCTGCTTGGATTCCTTCAGGTCGGTGAGAACATCAGCCAAGCCTCTCTGGCTAATGTACGATTTGCGACCAAGCCTTTCCAACGACATTGCATGCAGGCACCCTGCGAGCAAACTGCCCTGCAGTGGGTACATATATATATATATATATATAAATCAATCTATATGTTGGTCATGCTGTGTGTGCGATCCACTGCATGGGCTTATATATATATATATATATATATATATATATATATATAACCGGCAATGTGGAGTTGTCATGTTTCATGCATGATATACATACTCACAGCCAAAGCCATCGCCATGCATGCATTGCACAAGGCAGGGCCACGGGCTCGCCGTGCAGTGATGCAGCAAACTCACACACAATCACCCTGCAAAACACTTCTAACTCTGCATGCAGGGCTACACACATGCGATGTTTCTCGAACACTTGTCCCCTCGGATGCATGGAACATCGGGTCGCTCGAAAGATTGCCTGAAAAAAAGCAGCTGTCATGTACAACTCCTTTCGTCTGGCGCCCATGGATGGAACGACTGCCACTGTGGAGTCTGTTCCCGGTCGGAGGTCAAGAGCTATTGAGAACTATAGCCATATATATCTGAACCATATAGCCCTATATAAATGCTATATAGTGCATATATATATATATACATATATACACAGGTCCAATCTTTATGTGCCCGGCTCTATATACATATATATGCATCTACACAACAAAGAGACATAAATGCTTAAGTATATATACTATAGAGAAACAAATATGTATAAGCAAACACCTTCCCTCGATACATCTTATCTACAGATGTATATATATATATATATATGAGCCTTGGACATAATATAACCATAGATCTCCCTAAAGCTCAGGACCTTAAGAAGTGTCTCGACATTTGCAAAAGTATCGCTCACTTGCCGCTGTCGATCATATCCAAAGCCCTCTTCCACGAGGCCTTCATGTCCGTGCCGAACTTGATCTTCTTGTCAACCCTGTCCTGCTCATGAATGAAGACTCGCCACAACGAGAATGTGTCGGATCGATGAATCTTCCCGCCGTTATACTTCGTCGTGGGGGCTCCCTCAGGCGGAACCGGGGGTCGGCGACCATTCCATGCCACGGCCTTTGCCTTGGCTTTTGCCACGGCCTTTGTTTTGGCCTTTGCCACGGCCTTTGCCTTGGCTTTGGCCTTGGCCGATGCTTTGGCCTTGGCTTTGGCCTTGGCTTTGGCCTTGGAATTGGGTTTCTCCTCGCTCTCCTCCTCAGCCCTCTGCCGCTTGTTGTCCTTTACCTGATTGGCGACCTCTTCGGCATCAGGCATGGGGTCCTCAACGATATTCGGTGTGATCGCCAACTCGTTTGCATTCGGCTGGGTTGCCGCCTCCTTTCCACCAGGGGGCGGGAGTGCCGCCTGAGCAGGATTCGGCTGGACTGCCGCAGCCGAAGATCCAAGCCGGTTCCCGGCTCCAGCCGCCGGGTTGAAGTAGGTGATGTCGAGCTCGGGATTGTTCTTCGCAGTCATGTTCTGCATCATCTGCAACATGCTTCCCATAAGTTGCATGGGCCCACACTGACCACTCATCATGTTTCCCCAAGGGTTCATGTTCCCAGCTGGAGCAGCGGCCGTAGCAAGGGTGTTGCCCGCATCGCCGAACAAGCCACTGCCTCGGATGCTCCTGGACGACCTTCTCAATGAGATCGTGCGAGCTGCATTGGCGATCTCGGTGTCATCAGGCGCAGTTATATTTGGTGGGTCTTCCTCATGGTATCCAGCCGCAAAGAGCACCTCCGGCAAGTTCCGGGGGTCGGTGGGATACTTCACCAGATACATTGCTGCTTTTGGTCGCCGCTTGACCTGGATCTTGATGAGCCGCTTGATTTCCTGCACGACAGCGAACTTGTCTTTGTCGGTGGCAGCTTTGATGCCAAAAACCAGACCAGATGCCATTATCTGTCGCACACTGATCTCGCTTGGGTTAGAGATGCCCACACGAGCACAGCGATGGGCCAGAGCCTCGAGCTTGGTGATCAACGTGGCATCGCTGCCCAGTGTCTGTATGTCTTTGGCAGACAAGTACTTCGAGAAGGACGTGATGTCCTGGCAGTTTCTCCTGGTTGAGGATGTCGGGTTGTTTGTGACAACCAACCCAATGCACGTGTAGAAGTGCCGCTTGTGGGGATCCGTCCAAGGGCCTTGAGAGATCACATTGATGAGCTCCTGTCCATCTTCGTGTGTGCACGACTGCACGGTGTTAAGCCTCGTAGCAAAGCTTTGGAACTGGTTCTCCTCCATGACATTGCTGTCCACACCTTGTACATTCTCCATGGTCTGCAGAAAGGTATGGATCTGCTTCACATCGTTGATGAGCTGCTTCATGTTCTCCGACATGGCTCTCTTCAACTCTCAAGCCCCGCGAGCTGCTATAGCCCTGCGAAAGGCTATATATATACAACTGTATATGGACGATGATCAAAACGGCTTCGATATAGAGCATGGAGTTGCATGTGGAGTGCTCCTATTGCATGCATGTGTCGACATGGCAGGGCCCTCGGCTCGCTGTCGTCCCACACAGGAGATGCATCAATAGTATAGTATATAGTAGTATAGTAACATATAGCAGTAGTAGTCGTAGT